GTGAGAGTCCAATATTTTATGTTGCCAAGCTGTTGCCTAACATTTATGTTGGGTTAATATAATGTTTATGTCTATATTTGACTGGCCAAAGATAAGATGAAATGTTTCTGTCAGGGATTTAAAGGCTCTAACTTTCAGCCTCCGCCACTTTTTCCATGTGCAGCCACACACTCCCTGCATATTAATCTCAAGTGTCCTGGAGGATTCTCTCTGTTTCCATTTCTGATACTTTATACATCCTGAAAATTGTACTGCAGTCTTTTTTAAAAATAAAAATTAACCAATTTTTATACAGATTTCACCACACTCATCTAGTTTAAAGTGTTTCTAGTGAATCATTATCCAGATATGCTCACTAGTCTGTTTTAAAGATGAATACTCTCATATTTATGTCTGGCACAGTCTTATAAAGTGATATTTTAATTTATCTGAACTTTATCAGGTAAAAAAGGTGAAAGCAGTGTATATAAAACAACAGTCAGATCTTGGGACTAGAAATCAAAACGACACAGTACACAACCCTTTCAACACACTGTGGTTATGACTGTAGTCGCATTGAATGCATCATAAATGTTTCACAATCATTGTACAGTATTGTTTGACTGTGCAATTAAACAGCTTGGCCACATAAACATTAACATTTGATGTGGGCTTTAAAATGCATCCAGAGTTAGGAGCTTAGCTTTGCACGAATATGTGAATTAAGAGCTCTTTTGTTGTGTTTGTACAACAACAATAGGATTATAAAATACAAGTACACAGTAAAGCACTCAGACACACCAGGTTGACAATCAGTTTGGTCATCTGGACATTCAGTGGCTTAACTGGAACACTTAAGGGCTCAAGGGAATGCATTTCCATAAGATTTATATTCAATAAATGAACCACTCAGCTGCAAATTTAACATTAAAAATGAAAACAAAGGAAAAGATAAATTCAATGAAAGTAAAACTCAGATTAAATTAGTTAATATTCTGCATTACATTTTATTTTATGTATTTTTTACCCACAACCAAAGTTGCTGCCACCACAAATGAACATTTTTAAATCCACACTTCATTCCTGTTTCCCTTTTTTATTCACCTTCATTCACAGACGGTCTCATTCGTTTGTCTTTTCTGCATCTGCTCATGTCAAACTAAGTGTCCATTGCTTTTGACTTTCAGTTTGAATGATCAAGCCCACGGTTTTCTTTGTGAAAGGCCGAAGTCACGATGATATTCTCAGCTCATCTGAACAAAAGCAACAGAATAAGGACCCAACATGAAGCACTTTGACTTTGATGTCACAAGGAAGCGAGCAAGCTTCATTAGCACAATTATGGTTAAACCTGCTTTCATCAGGCTCAAACACACAAGGAGCACAATAGTCACAGTGTGCTGCGCTCCATATCCCATAACACTTATTTCTGTGCATTATACAACACACTCAGTGAGCATTAGTCACTGCTTGCTGCTGGGTGTCCTGCCTTCAGCAGGATCAAAAGCCTCAGTTATTGCTCCGATTTAAAGAACTTGTTTGGAGAGTTTAAAAGCAAACTTGAGCTTAACCCGTGTAGCGGTATAGAAACCTTATCTGTCAGATCGATCACATCTGCAGAATATGTGCAGGGTGTTACAAAAAAAACTGACTATTTAAAATCTACAGCAAGAGTTGCGCTGACACAAAGAGAAGGCAAAAAGCTTTAAAATGACACTGCTGCCAAAAATAAAATGAAAAAAAGCTTTTACAAAACAGTAAAAATCTAGCAGCAAGGGTGCCAGAAGTAATTAAATTATGGAATACCGTAACATTTAAAAAACATAAAAACACGGAAAAGAACAGCAAATACCTGTAAAATAATTATATATTTTTTAGCTGATTTAAATAGAGTCAAATACTATATTTCTACAGTCACACTGTAAAAGAAAAAAATAATGTTTGTGAAAATACTGATTTTTTTCATGTTCAACATGTAAATTGATCTTTTCTTTTCTTTTTTTTTTTTAAAAAGTGATTTTTAACAGGATATCAACAAAAGAGGAAAAAATCTGTAAGTAAACAGTATTAAAAAAATGTGTTACCATTTTTCATCCTTAAGATTCCTCCTTTTTTTTTCAAAATAGTGACAATATCTGTAGAATAACTATGTTTTTGCAGGTTTAAGCATAGTGAAAAATAGTGTCATTTTATGGTCAATGCTGGAAAAAAAATTATCATTTGTAAAAATATATACTTTGATATAGATGTTATTTACAGGTTAGAGACTTTTTTGTTTTTTTTAGATGTGAATAAATGTTTCTTCTCTGGGATTTTATTAGTTATCTGTAATTTCACACAACAGGAAATATTTCTAAAATAACAGAAAACAGTGCAAAAAAAAAAACGACATTATGTGTGAAGAAAAACGTGCATTCAGTGCTAAATAATACAGTACAGACTATCAAATAAACTTTCTGAAAATAATATATAAGTTTATTGAATCTGTAGTTTCCATAATAAAGAATAAGAACGGGTTTAAAATGGTTCAGATAAACATTCTCTGATGCTGTATTGATTTCAGAGAGTTGGTTTCCGCTCATCACAGTCTCTCTGGTGCAACACTAATGTTTACTTACTGTGTTTGAATGGTGGTTTGATTTGCATCCAACTATTAGTTTCCCCAAAGAGCCACATGAAAGCTATCACATGTCGAGCACAAAGCGCAGCAAACAGCACAGTGTGTGAACAGTCCAGGTGCTGCTCCAGCTTTTGTCAGAGTTTAAAAGGCAGCGATAAGCTGTGACATAGATGAGTTTAACCCTCATGATCCTATTACCTTTTTCCTGTGTGCTCATTCATTGTTCTTGTTTTTGCCTAATGCCTCCTGTATGTCACTTTTCGACCGGTTTGTGGAGACTCATTGTCCAGAGCATTCAGACCAGATATGACGAGGGAACAGCAGGGAATGTTAATTGTATCGATTTTTCACATGGCCATGTTGTAATAATATTTATATTAGTAAATTAGCTTAGCTTAGCATTAAGACTGGGAACAGGCAGTGATGGAGGAAGGATTCACATCATTTATTTATGTAAAAAATACTATTAACACAGTGTAAAAATACTGTTAATTAAAAAAAATTACTGCAGTGAAAGCATGTATTTTCTTGAAAATATACTTAAAGCATTAAAAATAAAAATGCTCAATACAGAAAAATGTCCACTGCCACTATGATACTATCATATATGTAAAAACAAGATTTTACAGTTGGGTGATGTGGTGCTGATTTTGGACTATTTTGTGTCCAACTGCAACAAATTCTTATTTTCATGATGGATTTGTCTGCTTATTTTTCTCTCCATTAATTGATTGATTGTTTGATTTCTCTCTGGGTTCTCCAGCTTCCTCCCACACAGTCCAAAAACATGTTGAGGTTAATTGGTGATTCTAAATTGTCCGTAGGTGTGAATGTGAGTGTGCTTGGTTGTCTGTCTCTACGTGTGGCCCTGTGATGGACTGGCGACCTGTCCAGGGTGTCCCCTGCCTTCGCCCGAAGTTGGCTGGGATAGGCTCCAGCCCCCCGCGACCGACCCTAACGAGGATTAAGCTGTGTATAGATAATGGATGGATGGAAATAGTATATATATAGTACTATAATCTGTAGTCTATAGTACAGACTATAGACTAATGTTAGTTCAATACCCGTATTGCACTTAGGTGGAATGTGTTGGTGAGTCTGGATTTGCGGGCCTTGATGGACCGGTACCTCTTTCCTGAGGGCAACAGTGAGAACAGGCTGTGCCCGGGGTGTGAACCATCGAAGGTGATGCTTCTGGCCCTGCGCAGACATCTGGTGTCATAGATGTCTGACAGAGAGAACAGCTGTGCTTCTATGATGCTCTGTGCTGACTTCCTGACTCTGTCCAGCGCCTTCTTGACAGCCTGAGAGCAGCTGCTGTACCACACCAAGATGTTTGTGGGTGAGGATGCTCATACCTATAGACCTATAGAAGGACAGCAGCAGCTCCAGGGACAAGTTGACCTTTCTCAGTGACCTTAAAAAGTACAGATGCTGCTGTGCCTTTTTCACCAGGGCACTGGTGTTGGTGCCCCACGTAACGTCCTGAGAAATGTATGTTCCCACTGACTGTGAAGTCACTGACTGGGGGAGGGGGGGGTCCTCCCTCTTCCGCCTGAAGTCCAGCACCAGGAGTTGAGTGCCAGGTTATTGAGGTTATTTTCTGCCTTTAAACGCTAAGTCTCTAATGTAAAAGATGGACATTTGCCATAATAATTTTGTATCTATAGTTAAAAAAGGGATATTTTATGTTATTTAATGGTAGATGTACAGCATAAAAACTGCAAATGTTAAAAAAAAAAGAAATAAAACTCCATAAAGAAATATAAACTGGCATCTCATTGCCCGAGCTTTGTGCTGTTACTAAAAAAAATAATTAAAAAAAAAAAAGCTTTGTTTTTGTTTGTTTTTATTACCTTACGTATCTTTGACATTTTTGTATAAATGCTGAACTAAAATAAGGGAAATATGTTTTGAGCTCTGATTTGTTCTATGTTGTTGTTTGCTCATTTACTGCCTTCGCTCTTTACATTAAAATTTAGAAACAATGACATTACATGTTGATAATAATGCAATTCCAAAAGACAAATAAATGGAAATACACACGTGAATCACAAACTATAGAGTTTCTTTTAAAATAAAACTCATAGAACTGTTAATACACAGATATTTCTTAGAATGACTGCACTAAATACAATGTCCTTCTCTAGAGATGTGAATACATAGTTCATCACCAGGACAGGAGGGGAAATATTTGGTACAAATGCAAGTCGACATGTGATGGAAAGAACACATGGACAGCATTTGTTTGGTGATTTGAATGCGTCACCAGTCCAGGGCGTGTTCTTCACTACAGGGTCTATATAGTTCTGTGATCTCTGCTACTGAATACACAAAGCATCACTGCAGCCACCTGTTACACACAACAACAAACCAACTCGAAGAGGTCTCATCTCCAAAAATGCAGGCGGAGGAATACAATCGCAGAGGTAATCACGTGATGCTCACTCATTCTGACCGCATTTAATAACAAGTGGACAACACATTTAAATCCTAATGCATGTGAACAGCTGCTACTGTGTGTGTTACTGCTCAGGTAAGGAGCTGGTGGACTACATCACACACTATCTGGGCTCCATCAGGGAGAGGAGGGTGATTCCAGATGTGAAACCAGGTTACATGAAGGAGCTTCTTCCTGACGCTGCGCCTGCAGAGCCGGAGGACTGGGAGAACATCTTCAGTGATATCGAGAAAGTCATCATGCCAGGAGTAAGCTGCCACAGTTACCTATTATACCAGCAAAGTCTGGTATAATGGCTTGTTCGAATTCACTTAAATTGTCATGAAAAGCATGTTCATAAATGTGTTTTCTTGTGTTTTTGTGCAGGTGGTTCACTGGCAGAGTCCTCACATGCACGCCTACTACCCCAGTCTGACTTCATGGCCGTCTATGCTCGGAGACATGCTGGCTGATGCTATTAACTGTGTGGGATTCACCTGGGTGAGAGGGCAACTCAAACCACAGCTTTTACACATTTAAATTCAAGTTCAAGTCCAAATTCTGATTCCAATTCCAATTCCAATTCCAGTTCCAGTTCCAGTTCCAGTTCCAATTCTAATTCTAATTCTAATTCTAATTCTAATTCTAATTCCAATTCTAATTCTAATTCTACCTCATGTAAAGCAGCTTGTTGTCGGTTACACAACACACAACAAAGCACACCCACACACATATGCATACAACTACATACACATTTACATCTATATATCCATACATATCCCAATAAATGAAATTCTAGGCCATATTGCTGCCTATAAAGTAATTAAAAGATGAATAGCAGAAGGAATCAATGACTGGGAGTAAGTTGGTTCGGTTTTACATGCAGATACGAGAGAATTCACCTGCAAGGACATGACAAGCAGAAGCCAGAACACTTGTTAAGAATTCAGATTTCTTTGCTTTACTTTACTCATGTTGTTCAGAATCACTTTTTGTCTTCAAACCTTAAGACTGTAAAACTAGCATTCAGAAGAAAAATTCAGTAGACTCTCATTGAAACGTTGGTTAAAACGTCTGAGGATGATGGGACAGACACAGAGGGAATTTTTCCACAACATCGCCTTAAACAGCAGCTGCCATCTTGATACCGTCTGCTTTGGTTTCCAACAGGCCTCCAGCCCGGCATGCACAGAACTGGAAATGAATGTCATGGACTGGTTGTGTAAAGCTCTGGGGCTCCCCTCCTTCTTCCTGCATCACCATCCTGACAGCAGAGGTGGAGGAATACTGCAGGTTTGCAACGACTTGATCTGTTTCAACCCAACAGCAGTGTCTGTGTTGACTTGGAGCTCATTATGTTTTCTTCTACCTGTCAGAGTACAGTCAGTGAGAGCACACTGGTTGCTCTGCTGGCAGCCAGGAAAGACAAAATCCTGCAGCTGCGGGCCGAACTCGACCAGGACGTGGACGACTCAGTCCTGAACTCGAGACTCGTTGCCTACGCTTCAGATCAGGTCAGTGCTTCTTGTACAACAGCTTCCTATCAATCTGATGAAATAAACTGAGAAGCTGATATTGTTGTGCTTTTCTAGGCCCATTCCTCAGTGGAGAAGGCAGGTTTGATCTCTCTGGTGAAGATCCGGTTTCTGCCCACTGACGAGCAGTTGTCTCTGAGAGGAGACACTTTGAAACAAGCAATACAAGAGGACAGGAGGAGAGGACTGGTCCCCTTCATGGTACGTATTCAGCACTGAAGGATGAGCGGATATGGTGGGAAAATGAGGTGTTTATGTGAAGAAGTTTGAAATCGTAAGAGTATTTTTCATGTTTTAGCTGAAATCTCATTTCACAATGCTGCTAACTGTTTTTAAAGGCATACATATCTGTACTATTAGTGTCTTGCAGCTTATCAGTAACAGTCAGCAACTTGTAATTAATTTTCTGTTGTGGAAATTCTGGAAGAGGTTGATGTAGGATGAGGAATCCCACAGAGAGACACATTCAGATAACTTACGTTGAAACAAGGTTTACTGATCAGGAGAAGTGACACTAACAGAACAGCAGTTCTACCAGCATCAATTCTAAGGATTTCTCTCATACTTTCAGTCTTACACTTTCCTTCAGTGGAAGTCACACCCAGATTTATGGGTGAAAGGAAACAAAGATAGTTCTGCGCCTTGGCGCAATCTGGCCTTGAGAGGTACAGACAGTGCTTGCCTGTCCTGCTACAATAGATCTACATGAGGTCAAGAATCTATTGAAGATTTGTGCACATCTGCTACAAATACTACTTTTACATAAAGGGGTCAATCAGAGGAGCTAAGTGGAAAAGTTCACTACCATCTCTAGAAACTTAGCTCCAGGAGAGGAAAGTCATATTTCCTTCACATTCAAAGTTATGAATTGCCTCAGGAAAACAGAAATGCAAGAAGGGGCTGTTTCACCAGCTTTTTCTTGATGGTGCATTCAAGAGAAATAAATATTTAAGAAAAGAAAAATATTAAGAAAAAAAAATACAACATATGCAACTTATTATTAAATTGTTGCTTTGTTATTAACCCAGTGGTTAACCAACATTTTAGGCTTGTTTAATGAAAGCAGTGTCACCACAGTTCAGACATTTCCTCCCTAGACTTCTTAGATGTTTTTGTGGGGTTTGTTTTTAGGCAAAAATATTAAATAATTTCCCCCTAAAAAGCAAAAATGAGAGAAAAAAATGTGATGCAACTTTTTGTATCAGTATGCAAAAGGTTAGAAATGTATAAAAAAATTACTCAAGTATAAGTCAAACAGCTCAAACACGAGGAGAGACTAAAGAAAGAAAGAAAAAGGCGGAAAGATTTTGTTTTAAAATAATTACATTTTGCATGAAAATAATGACATTGACATTTCTCTCTTCTTCAGCTGTGTTCAACTCTGGGAACTACAGGAGTTTGTGCCTTCGACAAGCTGTCTGAACTGGGACCAGTCTGTGTGTCTTCACAGTTTACCTCCAAATATATCATTTTTTTAAAACACTTTTTGTAAATTCACATATTGTGTTTTTCCACTGATTTACATGAGGAGAAGCTACGACAACAGTAGTTGAATTGAAACCTTCTTACAGGTGAAGAAGATGGACTCTGGCTCCATGTTGATGCTGCATATGCCGGCTCAGCCTACTTCTGTCCAGAGCTCCGCTGGTCCCTGCAGGGCATCGAATTTGCAGATTCTTTTGTTTTCAACCCTTCAAAGTGGATGATGGTCCACTTTGACTGCACAGCTTTCTGGTGAGTCAGAAAATGAAATGCCATCTTCTGCAGCATTATTTATGAAAATAGATCTAGAATATAAAACAACTCAGTGTTAATGTATCTGTGTTTTCTTAGGGTAAAAGATAAATATAAGCTCCAGCAGACCTTCAGTGTTGATCCCGTTTACCTCAGACATGAAAACTCACAGGCAGCCACTGACTTCATGGTATCACATCAGCATATTTTCACTGAATCAAACATTCAACCAACTTAGGGACTCATTTCTTCCAGTGACACTACTTTTTCTGTCGCTCAGCACTGGCAGATTCCCCTCAGTCGACGCTTCCGTTCCCTCAAACTCTGGTTCGTTATGCGCTCCTTTGGGCTGAAAAACCTCCAGGCTCATATTAGACATGTGAGTAGCATTTCGTTTGTCTTCTTTTAATTTCATGTAGAAGTGATTATCAATTCTGACTCATTTTTTTCTTTTGTTTTTAGGGGATTGAGATGGCAAAGCTCTTGGAGTCTCACATTAGAAGTGACCCGAATTTTGAGGTTCCTGCTGAGCGACACCTCGGCCTGGTGGTGTTCTGTCTGAAAGTACGCAGCATGAATCTGAACTAAGCAGTGAACTATAAAGATGTTTGTAGAATGTATGTTTTATCTTTGTTAAGCAACACCTCTTCCACTGGCTAATCATTATGGAGATATACGAGCGTCTCAGTCACACCTTGTTTAAAGGTGACTGACCTGAATACGGTCAACTAGTTTTATGAAGCAGGGGTAAACGGAATATGACTACAGAGAATACTAAAGTTTTACAGTTGAAACTTTGGCCTGATTTCACTTTTCACATTTAGGCTCTGAAACGTTTTCATTAATTTATTCTAGGCAGGAAATGCTTTGACCCAGGAGCTGCTGAGGAGACTGACCCGGTCGGGCACCATGTACCTCATCCCTGCAGACATTCACACCAAACGCATCATCCGATTCACGGTGACCTCCCAGTTCACTAGTGCAGAGGACATCCTTAAGGACTGGAGCATCATCTCCAAAACAGCTTCCACTCTTCTAGCTGAGACGCAGGCTTCAAATAACGCTAACCAGCCTAAATCAGTGGAAGATGAGGCAACAGGAGCCGAAGAAAACCAAAACCCTGACTCAGACACCAGGTCTGAGGAGAAAGAGGATGCTGCAGCCAGGCTGGACAAAGCTCAGGTGGAGCTGTGGATTGACAAGGCTTGGAATCGATCGAGGAGGCCGATGCGTTCTCTTAGCTGCAACAGCGAGCCTCTGCCATACAGTTACATAGGGCCTCTGTCTGACTTTGAAACAAGGCCAAGCCTCAAAGATGCTGCGGGCGGCCTTCCCCTGCCATCGACTACAGGATCTGGGCCGATGTTTAACATTACAGAGATGCCTTCGAATCTTCTGGGCAAACAGGTGCTGAAGAAGCTGACAAAGTTCTACAGCGTGCCCAGTTTCTGCAACCAGTGGGTGCAGTGCGGCCGGCACCAGCTGTGCTGCCCTGTGAAGGTTTCGCAGGCAGCTCAAAAACACTTGTCGTCCACCTGCAGGAGAATGAACTGTATGTCTTCTCCTCCTGTGGCCAACACAGCTCCCTCTAATACTCCACTGGAAACTGCAGCTGCACCAACACTCCTGTAGTGACCCTGACAGCAACAGCTCACACCCACACAGTGATCCACTCAAATTAAACATCACTAAATAACTGTGTCAATCATGTTTTTTAATGAAATTATCTTTAAAAAAGCACTTCAAACTAAATTACATCACTTGAAATATTTATGTACACAATATTCCCCACAAAAGCGATGAAATATGCTGTTTGTGTGTGTATATATCTATATATATGCTCAAAGTACAGGTCGTTTATCATTTCTGGATTTCTGGGCTTCTTGTATTATTTAACAAATAAATGCACTATTTGAGCTTGACGATAACAAACCAATAATAAACACTGAACTCTCTCAGAGCCTGAGTGTTCCCTCTGAAATGGAGTTGAATGTCTCCTGAGTCATGGGTACGTAGCCCTTATTGTCCTCCAGGAAGTATAAAGGATCCTTGATGACAGCAGGGTTGAAACCCTCCTCTGCCAGCGTCACCTTCATCTGCTTAAACGTCCCGGTCACGGCCATATCATCCTGCCAGAGCAAAAATAAATGATCATTTAACAGTTGTAAAGACATTTCAGATTCAGATCATTTTGTTGTTCAGTTTGTAGTTCAGCAGGACTTACCTGTATGCGCAAGAAACGTGGTCTTGCATAGCTGGGAAGATAGTTTTTGACATGCTGGTATGCAGCCTTGCCGTCAAAGTCCATGTTCTCTTTTAGCTTCAGTGCTGCCATTCCAATTCTTCCCTCGTGTCCTGATCAGTCAGGGTCAAAGTAAAAGGACAACAGCTGTGTATGTGGTTCAAAACAGGGAAGCAACTGTTTCAAATATATACTATTTGCACTTTAAAATCGTCTCAATTTGCATGTTTTTTTTACTATCTTCGCAGGATTATATGATCACACATGTCAAACAGCTTCAGATGAGTATCATCAAAAGGAAAACATCTTTAACAAAATCTATTAATGGAAGCAAAATTTATTAGATATTACCACTTTATTTTTAAAGAAATCAAAAAAATGTTCACCGTGCATCACTGTACTTGCAAAAAGCTAAGCAAACTGCACAGTCTGTCTATAAAGTTGCAGCGTCTGGTGTGTTTGATGCAAAGGAAGATTTTAAATTAAAATGGCACCAGAGGACTAAATGTCAGGGGGAGACTCCGCCACAGGTAATAAGACTGGCTGGAGTTATGCTACACAACACTGATATGCAGATGGCTGCTACAGAACACCTGACTGGACTTCCACTGCACATATATCAACATTTTTATAATCAGCATGATTTTAAGTGTACATCCATAAGGAATTTAAATGGGGAAAATCCATATAAATTAGACATTCTGCATAAGCTTACATCTACGAATGACAAAGGATTATTCGACACGTGAAAAGTCCAAGAAGTCTTATTAAAGCACTAAAAAACTCAAATAGACTCAGCGGTCACATGAAACGCTTGAAACATTATCATCAGCTTAAAGCAGGGGTGGACAACCCGCGGCTCCTTGTGGCTTTGGTAAATAATGAGTATTTAATTTAAATGTATTTTATTTTAGTTCAATAGTTTTTTTTAATGTAATTCTAAATTTGAAGATTATGGTGATCTTGTAGCATTAAAATAAAATGTGTTTGATTTTTTGTTGCTCAAAATATGCGTCACAACTGCTGATGTGCGCAGCATTACCAACTTGGTGACTGTCTCGCTAAATCTGGCAACTTTCCAAATCCTCTTGGCACTTATTTTGGTCAAAAGCGACTCGTGACAAATCTAGCAAGTCTTTCTGGTGTTTTGAAGACTCTGACGTAAAAACATGTATCGGTCTGCAGTTACTGTCCTCAGCGAGCAGTGCCGCCGTGAGCTCCTCTCCCGTCCCAAAGCGCTCACAGGCGCAACAGTCCCAGCTGCAGTCAGCAGGACAACCAGATGTCATTTTTACTTTGCTGCATGTGGATAAGTCAAGTTTGGCTTTTTATTTCATAAATAGGAGGAGGACTCAAATAGATATTGAGTGTTTTATTTGAAAGTAACCTTCAACCCAGCGTCTTTTTTTAATTTTTTTTTCCAGAGTTTAAAATGTGTTTTGTTGCATGCAGAAAATGTTGTTTTCTCTGTAGCAGTTCATTGATTTCAGAACTGTAACACAAGGGTTTTGTGGTTCCTGATGTTTTCTTTTCTGTTGGGAAAGTGTCCAAATGGCTCTTTGAGTGTTTAAGGTTGCTGACCACTGGTTTAGAAACGCACATTTTCACCAAAATAAGATGTTAAATATTCACCTGGAACCTTCACACCGTAGACGTTCGCCTCCTCAACAAAGTCCACAGTGAGCAAATGATCAGCCACCTCTGTGGTTGCCACATTTTCTCCTTTCCACCTGTGTTAGACAGCGATAGAGACAGAGCACTGCATCAGCTGCAGTGTTTTCTTTTAGGTCCAGCTTACTATAACTTTGACACAAGCAGAGTCAAGCTTAGTTTGTCATTTCAGTTTTCATTTGTACAAAATGCTCGGATAATAATTGACTGACGTTTAATTTTAACTGCGGAGAGTAAAATGCTGAACGTGACAGAATGATCTCAGTCTGGACTCTCAAATGATGCTACTTAAATTTGAGAAATTAAATAAATAAGAAAATGTTCATATAGTGTTCTGTCACACATCCTAAATTTTATTTCCAAAAATGCTATAAAAATCTGTGCCCTTGTTCTCAGTCATTCTGAATGAAACACTTGTGTCCTGATGGGTGTGGTCTTTTCCAGGATGACAATGCATTCTACATCCACAAGACATTAAGGGGCACGGAACAGTTTAAGTATAAAAATGATGTGAATCAAATGCTTGGGCCTTTGCAGTCACCAGGTCTCAACACAACTGAACATCTATGGGAGATTTCGGACCGATATGTTAGATCAGTGCCATCATCAAAACATTGAATAAAGGAATATTTTTTAGAAAAACAGTGTTCAGTTACTCCAGCAGAGCTCCAAAAATGAACTTAAAAAAAACAAAAAACTTAATAACTTAAAAAATAAATAAATAAATAAAAAATGTGGAGAATTGAAGCAGTTCTGATTCACATAATGGCCCAATGCCTTACTAAGACAGGCTATGCTGATCTTCCCTTTATCTTGTCACCCTTTGAAAATCTAACTTCGCCTTGACTGTTAAACCTTCCAGGTATTCTGATAACTATTCACCCTCAAGACTCGTGCATTCATCCAGATTTGTCTTTCTGCCTTCAACACTGCTACCTAACCAACATATCCAACTTATTCTGGCATCTTATCAAATTAATTCAACTGGCTTCATCCACAGACCTGAAAGTGTCTCCGATGCGGTCTTGAAAGTAGACAAATCCCTCGTCATCTATCCTCAGAAGGTCGCCGCTGTTAAAGTACAGGTCTCCCTTCTCAAACACGTCCTTCAGCTTCTTCTTCTCCGTCTGCTGCTTGTTCTTGGCGTAGCCGCTGAAAGGCGCTCTCTTTGAAATCTTTCCCACGAACAAACCGGTCTCTCCTGCAAGTCAGAAAAACAAGCAGCACACTTCTCAGTGGGAGCTTAAAGGTAGACAGGGGGACTCATTGACAAGGGTGTTTTTGTTTTTTAATCTGCTTTTTATTCAACTTGTTTCGTTCCTGTTTTTATCTTCTCCCCTATTAAGCGACTGAGTATCTTGAAAAGCGCTATACAAAATAAATGTATTATTATTATTATTACCATCATTATTATTAAGGGGGCTGGCTCACCTACTGGGACTTCAATACAAAAGCCTCTGGAGTCTCTGACGGGTTCCTCTTTCTCTGTGTCGTACCTTATGAGGGCATACGGGTTTGCTTTCTGAAAGAAATTAGTCATAAATAATTAAAAAACCTTGTTTTGCATGTTTAAAATCTGCATCTGTGTCGATGTTTGACAACAAAATCCAGCCGAACCAGTAAGTTCTTGGTGTGAAATGTTGCCCTGCAGCAAATAAAAAAATAAACAGCATTTGTATTCTTCTTACTTTGTGGAGAAAATGCTCTCTGCCAATTGCTCCGATTTTGCCAACGTAGTTGACAAAGCCGACGTTTCCTTCGGTGGCTCCGTAGCATTCACAGATGCGAATGTTTCCGAATCGATCCAGGAAGTCGGCCCATGTGTCGGCCCTTATTCCATTTCCCACAGCCAACCGGACTTTATGATCCCTGTCATTGTCTTTCTGAAGGACAAAAAAATAAATAAAAAATCAGAAACACGTTTTACCTTTACAAGTAATGTCTCTGACCATGCAGATTGAATTTTAAAAAAAGGTTTTAGGATGCTACTAAACTTGTTGGTGACATTAAACTGCTGTTTACCTTTGGTGTGTTGCAGAGGTAGCGCATAATCTCTCCTATGTACTGAATAACAGTCACATTGTGCTTCCTGCAGTCATTCCAGAAGTTGGACGCAGAGAATTTACGTCTTAAAATAACAGTGAGGCCTAGAAATGAAGAGACACACATTTCAGCAAACATGCCGTCTCGAGCTCAGCAAGTGTCGTAAACTGAACTTTAGGACTTTGAAATACAAACAATAAAAATCGCAGCCAAACTGCCTGTTATTTGAGGTCATATACCTGTTGGCTTAACCTTCAATAAACTTCATGTTATCATAAAGATGTAGGGCCTAAATCTGGGTTTGTGGTTTCACTTGCTGGCAGCGTTTCATGAGTTACCTTGGTCTATAGCTCCGCAAAGGCCCATCAGGAAACCAGCAGAGTGGTACAGAGGCAGGTAAATGTAGACGACATCGTCTGAGCGCACACCAGCCATGGACTGGAGACAGGATGCCATCAGTACCCTCTCTTGGTTGACCACAGCGGCTTTGGGAAGCCCTGAAAGATAACACTGCCTTTAAAAGCCGACGTAGTATAGTTTTTATTGTCCTACTTATGTCGCTCAAGGTCTCAACGCTGAAAATATAAGCTCAGATTAGAAGTCAAGGTCAGATATGCACAGTAGGAGCTCTATCAAGGCTTTCAGGGAGCTCCCCTGGTCAGACACAGCACATACAACATCTATAAAGCACTTGATGGAGCATATATTTCCCAGTATTCCTATGAATAAGAAAATGAATAATAGGAATTGGAACACTTTAGCTTCTTTTACATCATCATTTGGCTTTAAGAGAGTTTAAGTGAAAGAAGTTTATGATATGTGCTGCCATGCTTTGATGGAGGCTGATATGCATGCTGGTATGTGTTTTGAAATGATGAATCACCCTCATGTACGATTCATAACATCAAAACAGCCTAATCCTATGCCTGATTCACGATAGTAAAGATAACGAACAATAAAAACAGCCATTAAAGTATCTTGAATCCTGACGTCAGCAGCGCTCATATCTTCTTGGCTGGCCTGCAGGTACACCTGCCAGGTTACCTGTAGTTCCTGAGGTGTAAATGTACAGCGCAGGGCTCTTAAGGTTAAGGTTGGCCAGCTGAGGCGACACCGGCTCGTCTGAGGCCTGCTGGATTTTATCAGAGAAGCTTTGGATGCCCTCCACGTCACAGTGCTCGCTGAGGATGAACACTTGGATGCCCTGCTGCTTCAAGGCGGGCAGCACCTCCTCCACAGCCCCTCGCAGGTCTGGGAGAAGAGAGGAAAGCAGAGCAGAGCCAGTGAGGCCTTGGTGAAGGTCAGAGCAGTGGCAATAAAATGGGAAGACAATGCCAAACATACTGGGGATTGATGGAAATGGTGCCAATCAGTTACTATAAGGACAATAAGTAACAAGGTCACGGAAATGACAATCAAAGTGTGAGGTGTTCGAGAAAGTGTCCTTTTTCTGGCACAGTTTGCACATTTTTTTGACCACAAAATACAACAGATGAGACAGTTTATTCATGCAATGCATTTTTGTTGAAATAAGTGAAGAGTTTACTTGCAAAAACAGATAACTCCATTTTTGTAGATTTTCAGACAACTTTTTGTTGTTGTTTGCTTACAATAATATCAATCAAACTGAAGTTGAGTGGATTTGACTCAGTGGAAATGACATGACTAAAATATAGATAACTTAAGTCTGATTGATGTTGTCTCAGGTAGATGATGGAAAAGTGGCTTTTCTGAAGGTTTGGGAAGATGGAGTTCTCTGTTTTTGCAAATGAACTCTTCAAATATATAATCCAAGGTGCACCAAGCACCACTTCTGCATTTGTTTGTTTGTTTTACAGTATTTATATTTTTTAATACTGTCTTTTTTTTGTTTGTTTTTTTAATTGTACCAGCACCATCAGTTTTTCTCTTGCATGTAACATCATGTAATATACTGGATACCTTGATTGTGAATGAATGAATGAATAAATAAAGTATCTGCCTCTCTATAGATGGATGGATATGTAACGTAGTGGTGACCTTAGAGAGCAAATGTTAATTTCATTCCTGCACAAGACTCCTGTGTGCTGAAGTGTTAATCGAATGAGATCTAAAATTAAATGCAGGTTTATGAGATACAAGCATTTACTTGTGGGGTGGCAGGTTTGCAAACCTTAAATTTCTTTCTTAAATTTCGTCATGCACCATGTTTGATGACAATAAAGCATTCTATTCTATTCTAAACCCTTGTGCAATGAAATGAAAGAAATGAAATGAAAGAAAATACTTTATTTATCCCAGAAGGGAAATTCGATTTTTCAAATTCAAGTCCATGCAAATAGGCTGAATCATGCAGAAAAGCTGAAATTCTCCCCATAAACACATGCAGGACAACTCTGTCCCACTTGTCCTCCCAGCTTACCTGCACCAACGATCAGGACTTTGGCGTCGCAGCAGGAGAAGCAGTGCAGCAGAGACTTGGATCGGATGTTGTTGTTGAGCAGAGCCGCCGTGCACCCCAGTTTGGCCAGTCCGAGCCACATCCACACAAAGTGGGGTTCGTTTCCCAGGAACAGGGCCGCCGTGTCCCCCGGCTTCAGCTGCACATGCGCGGATAGAGCTCTGGCCACTTTGTTGCTCTCCTTATCGGCCTGGATGTACGTGTAGGAAGCGTCCTCGAAAACTATGAACTTCTTGTGCGGATGCTTCTTCACGTCGTCGAAGAAACGCCCCAAAATACCTTGAAAGTTTTTTCTGTTTTTGCTCAGACGGATGCCGACTTTTATCGCGGAGATTGTGTAACTTAAGTCGTCGAGAAAGTAAGGATTTTTCCAGTAGTAAAGCAATATCGGCAAAAGTGCCAAAGCGATGTACAGAATGTATGAAAACATTGTGATGAGGTGCTGCAGCTGCTGCCAGAGGACTACTGACAGACTCGAGCTTCAGCACGAGTCCAGATATTCCGTTTACGCCTCCTGGACTTTGAACGCCTCACTGCTCTGCAATCGTACAAAAAAAAAAAAAAAAAAAAAAAAAGGAGCAGCATGTTTTCTGGGCTACAAGCGTCTTTTCTATTTTTTTCTTTTCTTTTTTAAAAATGTTTTTTCTCTGTCGTCTGTTTCTCGAATTTGGGAAATATATATATATAAATAAAAGTTAGGTGCTACTGTCATTGATTAGTGGTGAGAGATTTAAAGGTGTGTCAGAGTACCAAAGGTGGAAAAAGTACACAGGTCACTCTGCAGAAGTACTCTTGTACAGGAGAAAGTAGTGCATTTTCATTTTTATTTAAGCAAAAGTACAAAACTATTGGAAACAAAAATACTTAAAGTACAAAAAAAAAAAAAACATTGGCTCGTAATTATGGTGCATTAATAAGTTCATTTTTTAAAATATTAAGGCTGGTAAATTTGATTGACTGGTGATTTATTTTCCATATTTTATCTACTTTTTTGCTGCGTAGCTTTGTAGTTTTTACCTTTGGGACCAATAATGTTATTATATGATTATGTATCATAAATGATTTGCTCTGTCGGTATTTATTTTCTTCTTATCACGCTACCTTACCCAAGAAAAGACCAACTCACATAGCTGGCATCCTGCACACTGTGCAAACAGTCTGAGAAAACCCGTACACCAGGTCAACTCAATAAAACATCATGTAGCAAAGATGTTCATTTTGTCTTCAGTATACAATAGACTTAAGGATTTCTTTTTAATACGACAAATGGTATAAAGTTGTTAGCTGTACCTTGACATGTTTTGGCGTCTTTTCTGCCGCTTTTTTCAGAAGTGTCGTCTCACGTGTGTGACGCGTCTATCACCTGTTCCCAGGTATGGCCAATTTGACAAATCTAGTGGATGTGCCACACGCCTCTGGAGCAGCGCGTCCCAGGTGTGGGATAAAAGGAACGCTCCATCATCTCTGTTGATTGTATGTGAGCCTCGCTTCCTGATTTCAATAGCCTCTTGAATTGGGAAGACGCGAAGATCATAGGGATTGAGGAGCACAAATACAGGCGTTGGACCTGAGTCTAAATAAAACATCTTCAGTCTCTGAGGTCGTGGCTGTAAAGTACTGACAGGAATCTAGGGTAGTGAGCATGTTTGACTCCAAGTACTGTGGCTAAAACTACAGCGTAGAACCTCGAAGCCAGGGGTGTCCAATCCTGGTCCTCAAGGGCCACAATCCTGTATGTTTTAGATGTTTTCCTCTTCCAACACACCTGACTCATTTGAGTATGTAAATTTGTAGAAATCATATTAGACAAGAATTGTCAAACAAGAGGGAGAAATACAACAACCACAGCACATCAGAGTCAGCAACATAACCACCAGGCCTCCTTCAATCATTGGTAACAGTCCTTTCCAAGTGGAGAAGTGTTTACTCCTGTGGCCTTGTGCATCATGTCAGAACGCTCTTTCATCTTCTATAGGACTTGGCTCGGCTGCTGTCCATCCCCAGAACAGGATGCAGTGACAGCACAATCGTCCTGCTTCAGCCATGAGGAGTCAGTTCCAGCTCGAATCTGTCGTGTCAGGAGGGCGTTCGCTGCAAGCTCCTTCTTGCTGAGAGTGAGGGCCACAGGGCTTAGATTTTTCTGATATATCTGGGTGCAAATAGACAAAGTTCATAAAGTCTACATTCATATTAATTAAACACCAGTGACAGATGATAGAGGTGAAACCCATAGCAATCTGGTCTCTAAGTTTACAGTGTGGGATACAGAATTGTAACATTTCCACAAACCCACCAAGTATCTGCTACTGCGTGAGACTAGGTCACACATGGGCCTAGGTAAGGGACACACAGCCCCATACCAATAAAATGTCCTCGTCTCATGCTTATGGCTTCTCCCTACTAGCTACAGCCAGTGTGTCCCCTGTTGGAGCCACACTCCTTTGTAGCTCAGACTTCCCCACAGAAACTGAACAAAGAAAGCTGCAGCTCTTTGGGACCTGCTACTAATCAGGAGAGGGCGACAATACCTTTTTACAGTGAGATCGATGTATCCAGGAGGTGTGGTGAGAAGAACCCGATATGGTCCGTTCCACTTACACATTGTTGGTACCCTTCAGATAATGAAAGAAAAACCTACAATGGTCACAGAAATAACTTGAATCTGACAAAAGTAATAATAAATACAAAATCTATGAAAATTAACCAATGAAAATCTGACATTGCTTTTGAACTGTGATTTAACAGAACTATTTAAAAAATTAACTCATGAAACAGGCCTGGACAAAAATGATGGTACCCCTAGCTTAATATTTTGTTGCACAACCATTTGAGGCAATCACTGCAATCAAACGATTTGTCGATTTCTGTAACTGTCAGTGAGCTTGTGCACCTCTCAGCAGGTATTCTGGCCCACTCCTCATGAGCAGACTGCTCCAGTTGTCTCAGGTTTGAAGGGTGCCTTCTCCAGATAACATGTTTCAGCTCCTTCCACAGATGTTCAATAGGATTTAGATCAGGGCTCATGGAAGGCCACTTCAGAATAGTCCAATGTTTTCCTCTGAGTCATTCTTGGATGTTTTTAGTGTGTTTTGGGTCATTATCCTGTTGCAAGACCCATGACCTGTGACTCAGACCAAGTTCTCTGACACTCGGCAGCACATTTCTCTCTAGAATACATTGATAATCTTGAGATTTCATTGTACTCTGCACAGATTCAAGACACCCTGTGTCAGATGCAGCAAAGCAGCCCCAGAACATAACAGAGCCTCCTCCATGTTCCACAGTAGGGACAGTGTTCT